GCCGAAAAATCCGCTGCAAACTTCAAGCAACGAGATGTTCAGTTATGAACCAATGTGTCCACTTTTCAGCTATTACAATGCACTAGGTTGACCTTTCGAGAGACCAAGCCCAATAAAAGGTTTCCATTTTTTGAGCCATTGGATGATTACTGATAGTTCAGCGAAAACTCTCTTTTAGAAAAAAGGCAAAGAAGATACGAGATCATCCCACATAATGCCACTGCATTCCTCACAATTTGTAACAAAAGAAGAGACTATCAGAACAAATGGACGCTGCTTTTGCTATAAGTACGTTCGTAAAGTTGCCTGCATTGTAACTGATTTTTTCGGTAGCGCAAAAGTTTACTTCAAATCAGAATCTCATTCCATGAGCATTTATAATTTCCCTGTGAGGTTAAAAACGAGATGATTGGTCCGAAGGCGATAGCTTGTCTTCTTTGCGTTCCAAAAACGTACTTCGAAGGTTTCTTCCTTAGAACCTATTTTACTTTGAAATCGAGATTCCTCGGGTTATCGAAGAATTTGAAAAATTTAGAGCAAATCATGAAAAAATGTCCTATGGCAGTTGAAAAATATGTCCTCTTATAGAGAAATGTGATCTGCTCGGGTGAAACATAAGAAATCCTCAAAAATATTGGCGCTATGTCTATTAGTCCCTTGTAAAAGTCTTTTCTGTGATGTTCTGTCAACCAACCACGATAAGGTCATCTTAAAACCCAAATTCTACTACTTGAAGGTGCCGGTGAATGTGCGTGTTCAAGAACATTCTCTTACAACAATTTCTCGTCTTTTCTTATGTATGTCATTCCAACAGTCCTGTTCCCCACGGCTAGCTATATTTAAGACATTCATTGAATTCGTTTTCTATGAAATTACCAGCATCGATACTTTTTAGTGGTGAATTTTCCGTTAGTCAGTTATCTCTCAACGAATTACGCCTTTATTCGTAAAATAATTACTCTTTTATTCAAGAGATGGAGTGGTAAGCAAAAACTCGTCCCCAGACTGGAGTTGAACCCGCGTTTCATGCACAGAGGCACCTCTTCGCACCACACATTCTTTGACGTATGGCTATCATAGCGTATCAGGCACCCAACCTGTTTACAAGTTGGGTTGAGTAAGCACATATCTTTTTATGAGCCCAGTCAGACTGACAGCCATTATGCTCTAAAGATTTCTTAAGTTTCTACTGCTTTTAGTGTTTTACAAGCACCCCGGTATGACTGAAACTCGGGTTCATTTCCATGCTATAGTCGAGTTTCTGCTTATCACTCAATTCCCTCCGATGTGTTTGAAACATCATAGCACTGTGGAAAAAAAACCGTGAAAATATAAAAAATATTGACAATCAGAATTCAGATTTTGATAACTTCAGAGTTAATCAAGACTTTATTTCCGGCTAATATCGTGTGATCATTTTTTATTGTCAAACTGCTTCCTTTTGTAATCGCGCGATACTAATTTCGGATGCACTTCAAGGCATTTCTTAGTGATCTACCTCATATTTGCCTCCTACACTTACTAATTCAGAAGGAGATCAGTTGAGTGTGTGAATACGGATGGCTGTAATGTCGACCTACTAGTATATCACGATTTACGTTACTTTTCATTATTCAGATCGCTGCTGGAACTTCACAATTTCAGTCAGTTTCATTGGTCTCGTTCGATGTATTGATTCCCTTTTTATCGCTTCTGTCTCTGTAGAGTCCTGTGCCTATCGATCATACATCCCTCTCAGTGTGATAGCTATCGATTCAACATATCGATTGACTTAATATGTTAATTATTGATTGGGCGAACATAGATGGGATGAATAACAAAACTTTACTGTGCTAGCACTTTACGGCGAGATCGCTTAATCCATAGAGCAGCAGTAGTGATTCGAGAAGACTCTTTATAATAATCTCGTACCATCTAGGTCTCGTAGCATTTTGAGGTATAAAAATCGACTATGGGAACCATCGATGGGACCATTCGTTCTATGGATTCTCGATTTTGTAAAAAGCTACCTCAATGGCGGTATCATGTAAGCTCGGCATCCAGTGTATCCATAAATACTGGTATTGACCTTTCCCGTCATAAGTCCTTGATTTTGCCACTACCACCACAGATGAAGAACGAATCATACGGCAGGATTTTAGCTCCCACCAACAAATTTTAGCCTGCTTAGGGTCAAGCTGCACTCGATTTAATTTTGTCCGACTTAGAAGATTCCCTTAGAGGACCCAAATAGTATTTTTGTTCTGTTTCCTTGACATTAATTAGTACCATTCTCAAATGACAATGTGGCATGGGATCGTCGGTCGCAATAAAGTTTTGTGAACAAATTCGCTACGAATGACTTTTGTAGAGGTCATACACAGGAAGTTTCAACTGTATGTACAAGATTTTCTGCTTGAAGGGATAAAACTCGTGGCGTTGATCAATCTGTGAAGGGTGCGCCATGCATTCACCTTCAATTTTCACTTCGCTTGAGGTGATTGTATGCATATCTGGCCTTTTACAATGACTCGCGGTGGCCTACCGCTGAACCGAGTCAGTGTTGCCTAGCCTCTCGTACAAGTCTGGGACCAGTCTGGTATGAATTTACCGACCACGGAGAGATGATAGCTTTGGAGTGATTAGCGCGAGATCGAAACACCGACCTTGGGTGCGACGCAGTGCATCTCTAACCACTGCGCCCCTTGCTCTCCTCTCACTATATACGACTAGAAGTTAGCCTAAAATCTCGCTTCTGGAGCCTGTGTTTAGCCTAAAACCTCTTTATCGAGCAGAGCGACGAAAAATGGAACCTGGAAATGGACCGATGATCTCAAGATATCAGTTATCGTTTCTTTACTGATTATTCGCTACTGAATAAATGCCGATATTTGATGCGCAGGAAATTTGCATTCAAACTTCGCGCTTCATCAAAGCGAGGGTAGTATTGTAGGTCACGCCGTCGCAAAACTAATATTTTCAGTATCGTTTTAACTTCTACCCTTTCGTATTAGTATGTTATCGGTAATGTCGGCAAGATTTTTACTGTGCATGCCGTTTGTGAATCGAATCTTGTTTTATTGATTTGAATGATTATTGATTTATTTAATTCATTTGTTATTTTTTAGATAAAGCGTTCCACTCCTATTCCGAGCAAGGCATACATAAGCTCTGTGCATCTCGGACAAGAAATACAACAAGTCTATGACTAGGTACGATTTGTAGAATTTGCTTTTCTTCCCAGAGTGTTAAATTCGATGTACCCAAGGATGAAGAGCAATGCGCAAAAACCTCTATACTAGGCGGGACTCGAACCTGCACTTCACCCTGGCCGTGGGCTCGTGTTCTATCCACTGAGCTATAGATGCTCGCATTGCCTCCCTTTCCACGCTACAACACATCAATCTCTCAGCAACTAACCGTCAACGCTTTTAGTTTGGGTAGTCGATATCGCAGTTGAATCCAGTCACGTTGACAGATATTGAATATTGGATGATTAGACAGAATTCTTCTGATTTAACTGCTATCAGAGATGGCATAAGGTTATGGATGTGCCCAATGATGTCGAAAATTAATCACATAAAGTAGTTATAGCTGTTTTTTTCCATAGTTTTCAAGTTAAAGAAAAGTTAAGATCTACAGCAAGATAATCAGTGCGGCTCAGGATACGAACACAACTAGACCAAATGCATTAGCGACGCTGTGGGAGAAGCACAGTAGAGCAAGCGAGTTCCTCAATGCTGGATGGTTTCGCGCGACTAGCATAGCAGTGCTCTTCGAGACCAAACCGAATACTCCTACCTGGATTCCACATGCTCTCATTTTTCTCCATAATACTCTAACACGAGCATAAATCGGTAAAATCAGAGCCATTGAAATCTACGGACGTTCTCCAGCGAGGACCAACTCCAATTATCACGTCTGCGTGAATATTTCATGTTGTACACGCAATAAAGTCGTCGAGAGGACTTCGCTTACGCAACATATCTCGGTATAGAGGGATGCTGGGTGGTACGCACAACTATCGACGCACCGAAGATTGCATTTAGCACAGGCCGGAGCTCTTGGTACAGTTGCGCTACAAAGACCATGATAACACTCTTTTTTGAATAAAATACAGAGGGCTGTCAGCATCTGGCCCTCAACGAGTCTGGTGAAGTGGGCACACATTGGCATCAAACCCAGCCGAAGTGACAGCTGATATATGTATATATGTATACATGTATACATACATATATATGCATGTGTATATGTGTATACGTACGCATATATACATATATATATATATATATATATCAACAAATGCTACCTAGCGACATATAAAAAAGTGAAACCAGTCAGATGGTAAGCGCGCTCCATTCAATCTTGCATGCCGGATTTAGATTTGGAGCCCGCTTCCACTCAAACTTCTTGGCTGCCCGTCCTCGTCCGACCCACTGACCGGTCGCAGTGGCGTAGTGTTGTTCGGCGGCCCTGCGATCGGTTCACTAATCCCTATCCTAATTTTATCTATATGCATCTCCTACAATCTAAAGGTAATTTCATTCTATTCGGCGTACTTTCATTTTCTTATATTCTTCAATGTCCTGGTGTCATTTGATACAAATTTGTCCTGATGCTTATGTGTTTACTCTAATGAGTGATATGCATATTATTCACTTATGCATGTTATGCACTTTCAACATGCATTTTAAACTATAACACATATGTGACAGGCAAAAATTCGACCTGGACGGGAGTTGAACCCGCGTTTTATCCACACCGCGGACGTCCATGAAGAATGAGTGGTGAGTAAGCGGTGGCCTCGGTGTTGTAATGGTAGCGCGTCCCCTCTCCCCTCCCCCCTCCCCCCCCCCCCCATGTGTTAAGCCCGGGTTTAACTCCCGTCTGAGGTACAGTTTTTTCCCTACCCACTCAATGCTTTTAGGTATCGATGATCAAAGAGAATTCTTTTATTTGACTGCCTCAAGCGGTGGTATGATATAATAGTGTATCCATTGACGTAGAGATGTGCAAACTTTTGCGTCAGCTGGGACTCGAATTTACGTTTCGCCCTGTCCGGGTGCGCGTGCTAGGACCATTGCACTACCGACGCCTGATTTGACACCACTCTTTCTACGCTGCAACGCATCGATTGTCAGCAGCCAACCGTCAACGGTTTGGCACGGTTAGTCGCTATCGATATTGAACCCACTCACAGTGACAGATAAATACGTTGTAGCGTAGAAAGAGTGGTGACTAATGAGGCGTCGGTATGGGGCGGTTCCAGCACGCGCTTCTGGGTAGGATAAAATGAGTTAAAGTCCCACTTGACGCACAAGTTCTGTACATCACTCTACATCACTGGTTGCATCCTTAGGTATGTTTGGAATATCATAACACTGCAAAAAAGCAGGAAAAACATAAGAAATCTTGGAATCATTGGACACATTTATTGTTTAGTATTGCAGAAACGTGCCTTCTTTTGCGCCTAAGTCAAGCATGACTGTACCGAAGCGGAATGTCCATAAGAATTCTTCGGTACGTTTGCAGTGTGTTGACTTGGATTTTTTGATATATCTCTGCAAAACAACTACCTATTTTTGTGTGAAACAGTGAGTCATTGGATGTGATGGTTGCAACGGATGAAATATGCACAACTTTACTATGTTAATAGGCCTTTTTATGACTTTTGACAGAGCAATAATTATCAGATTTGCTAATATATCCCTTTGCGGACGATGAGGGTCAATACAACCCTCTGCTGGGGCACGCCGTCCGCACGAGCTGCGAATAGTGTTGCGTGCTCCGATACAAATTCGCGTTAATAAAGCTCTCAGAGGAGCACTGTTATCAAAAAAACGATAAAACATCACTGATGATGGTCCTGTATGAACGATTTTAACAAGATTAACGCTAATGATTCCCAAAATCTTACCTTTTTCAAGGGAAAAACCATATTCTGGCAATAAAGAGGTCCCAACTGTTACTGTATGATTTCTCCTATCTTTTCGATATTTCTGTAGTCAATCGATAGCTTGAAAGATTCTGATTCTAATATTGTGCTTGTTGTTGAAACTCACTTCGCAGTATGTTTCTAATAATGAACGAAAATTTAAGTTTACAATTGCCATCCAATTTTTTCAAATCATAGCGGATTTCTTGGGATTATATAGTTAGATTTCGATTCCTGCAAGAATTTTTGCTAGAGGAACTCTTGAATTATTATTATTAGAGTTTTCGTAAACGTTTTTCAAAAAGAATAACACCCAAGTGCTTTCAAAATTTTCCTTTTCAGAAACAACTTCCGTCACGCAATCGCATCCCAAGGACTGCACACGTGAGCCCTTCATTTTTTTTTCCGAACAAGACCTGCTCCACTAGATTGCTAGTAATCATTTGATAGCTGAAATCGAGCGAATTCTAACAGTTTTTTTGTATTTTCAAATAGGTTTATTTTTTGCACTTATAAGAGCTGAAATAACATTATGTTTCACATTTGAAAATTTCTACCAGGATAAGGTTTTTGATAAGCAGTTAGTAATTATTCAGTAGTACAAATCTCAGCGATTCAAAGACATAGATCATATTGGAGAGGATTCCTCAAAGAGCTGTGATAGTCAAGAGAAGACTGGGTTCCGCACTCCAGAGGGGTGGTACTTCGCAACATAGCAACAGAACAGCGCGTGCACTTAGATAGTTTGAAATTCTACTCAGAAAAGGAGCTGCAGAGTGCTTCTGATGCTTGCAAGGCTCCAAAAACAACCAGGAAAGTTAGGACCAATATAATCTGTGAGAATTTTCAGAGCCCCACTGAGGTTGTTACTGTCACAGATATACACGTGTTTCGGAGGTGTCGCCCTCGTCATCAGTGGCCCACGCCCCATAGAGCCCTACTTTGTAGCAGGAAGGGAGACGTATGTGGTGGTAATACAACGTACATGACATTGTTTTGTCATTATTTCCTGTCAATGATAGCAGCTGGTAGATATAAATTTTAATAAACCATACATACGTCTCCCCTCTCTGCTACAAGTAGGGCTTTGTGGGACGTAGTCCAGTGATGAAGAGGGCAGCACCTCCGAAACACGTGTATAGCGCTGACGTAACGATTTCGACATGGCTTTGAACATTCTCACAAATAATATTGAAGGTTTATTACGAGGTCAAAAAGCAGTCGATGATGTGGATCAATGTTAACATCACAATGAAGGTCAGTTCATGTCGTGTCCAACAAAGATTCACTAAGAAGTCCGTTAACCTTGTGATGTAAGGGTTTTCTCAAACGGTTTTATTCCGTGTTATATATATAAGTTTTTGCAGATTAGACTGATCACTATAGTGATTGACTGGACATATTTATAGGGAGAATATATCCGACTATTTTTATAGACCTCACCAAAACAGTAATAATTTGATAATCACATAACTTGTTTTGAGCTTTCTGTGAGGTCCATAGGGCGCACAAGTAGGCAAACTTGTTTTGCTCTTCTAGGCTTATCGATACCACAAAGCCTTTAGGTTCAGCCGATCTCTTGAGGATACACCCCCCCCCTTTCTCCACTAATAAAGGAGTCGACGTCGAATAACAAATCACCGCAAGTCAGGTGATAAATTCCCCGACATTGCAACGACCAATAATCGAGGTGGCTGGTAAAATAAACCACACCTCTCCATTCGAGTTTTTTATTGCTTTATAATGTATGCCTCTGATGTCATGTCTATATGCTCCTGATGTCACTCAAATAATCTAGCCTTTTAGTGTTGCTTACAATATTGGATTGCCTTTTATATGAGGTTTTTATGTTAAGTTCTTTTTGTTTTTGTTTTTTTGTTATGTTTTATGTTATGTTTTTTATATGATTTTTTTTTATATAATGTAAACATCTAGTAATCCAAATTCCACATAGCGTCACCAAGACGGTGCTTTCTTGGGAGGCCACATTCTACTTCCAACCGCAGAGGCTTTTTAGAGAAACAGAAATAAAAGCGCCTGAGGTAAATACTTGGCTGAGATTTTTCAGTGCAAACTATTTGAATCAAGTCATTGGTCTGTTCTGAGGACTCACTTATAGAGCCCGATACATGTGTTTCAACCTTGGTGGTCTCGTCAGTCGGGCAATTAACTTTGTCTTTTGCCGATCCTCTGGGTACGCTCAGTCCTCCATACTATGACTAGGCGACGACGAACATTTCACATCGTCTAGTAAGTGAAAAGATCACCGAATGAACAGTGTTATGCACTCGATTGCTCTTGGCTAAAATCCTTAATATATCATACCTTTCGTTTCGAGTGTCTTCTTAAGACCACGATCAAGCTTCAATATATTTCGTAACTATTATTTGAGCCAACATATCATGTGGTATGTTATATTGATATGGTATTTCCACTTAGTGGGCGGTGTAAAATGTTCGTCATCGCCTACGTTTAGTATAGGGGACTGAGCGCCCTAAGAGGATTGACAAAGACGAAAGGTATCGCCCGACTGATGAGACGTCAAAGTCAAAACACGACTATCGGGCTCTATGAGTCGGCCCTGTAACAGACCACATGACATCTTGGCTCAAATAAAACTTACGAAGTTGTCATTTACTTGTGTTTTTGATCTTCTTCTTGACTGTACTATGTTTCAGGTACCGTTCTCAAAGAAGAGTGACGATCTCGGCAGACGAAACGATATCAAGAAATCAACGAGTGTTCCTGATCTTATAACGATTACGGTGATTATGTGAAAATGGAAAATTATGATGAATTTTTTTTCATCACGGGTGCAACAAACAAGATGACAGTCATGCGTCATGAAAACGACGGTGTGTTTAAATCTCTAGAATTTGTTGAGAAAAACAACTTCTTCATTGTTTGTTAATTACTATATTTGACCTATCGTGGTCATTTGTATAACGTTGTCATTCAGGTTTGTCGCACCGTTGGCGCTGATGGTTCACTTGTTGTCGGAAAGCAGCGGCTGTAGTGGAGCGATGCAATAACCATGCGGCAAAGCTCTATTTTGAGCTATGCATGACCCGTCCACCGAGTGTAAGGCATATAGTTTGATATTTAATTCTTCCCCCATCCACCGCCCCTTCCCGCTCATCAAATACGTCAACACCCATGGCTCACGAGATGGCTTTTTCGGGGCAACTCCTCACGGGGTGCGCATGACGACATTTCCGCACTCCACCCGCTTGGTCTCGTGCTCCACGGCCACTGACGACTGTACATCGCAACTGCGGCGATTTCGCTTCTATAACTCAGCACCGACGCTAGGAGTCGTGACGTTCCTTACACTTCTTGCTGGCCTTGTATATTGTATTTTCGCTCCTATTACGTACTTGTTCCTTATCGATCCTGTCGTTCTATTACTCTGTTCAATCGTTCGTTATCATGTAAAACTCTTCGTCACTCCTGATTTTCGTTAGTAAAGTCTTTACTCTTGTCACTTGGAGAGACATCGTACTATTTTACTACGTGTGAATCGTCACATTACATCACGTTATAAGTATGTATGTTGTTTTACCATTATTACTGTAATGTTCAAATTTATAAATTGTTCGTTTGACCAGAACCTATTTTTCGCTATGGAGTATTAATTGTTCGAGGTAAAGTAATATTGCTCGCGCTGATACCGTCGACTAAGCCCCTTGTAGCAGAAAACTGTTCTATCGAGACAACTTCGATCCACGTACAAAACATATGCATCACAACTGTCAACGGACCACTGTCTCAGCTAAGGTGATTAGTCAACAGCATTGCTCCCGATGATGCTTCAGCTGTACCGACTCAATCAATCTAAACTATCACCTTTCTAGTGCAGCGACCGCACCTCCATTAGGACACTGAACCATTATAATGTAATGTTTGGCGCAACAGTATTTGCATTTGGTGCTCGAACTCATGGTCATGAAAGGTTGCAGTTTTGAAGTTTTAAAACTGTGCTGTTGTGCTGGTAATTGTTCAGAATTTTTTTGGAGATAATCATAATATGGATATGGAGATACGGGCAACATTTCTCGCATAGTCTGTCAAGTTCTCAGAATGTCCATGTTGTTCCACTCGTTTCAGAAAGATGGTAACTTTCGAGAAATCGGAGTTTCTCCTAAATGTGTAGATAGGAT